TTTTGCCCTGCTGCCTGAGGGAGGTTTATTTTTATAGGAAGACAGCACACACACACAGAGAGAAAGAGAGAGAGAGAGAGAGAGAGAGAGAGAGAGAGAGAATATTAAAAGGTAGAATATTATATTTCCCCAAAGGATCTTAAAGGTAGAAAAGGCGGCTTTGTAGAAATGCAGATTTAGTAATCCCATTCAGAAAGACTGAGGCCCCATTCATGAGCAAATACTATCAGGCAGAAGCCCATTCAAGACAAAATATTTTGAAATCCCTTGCAGCAAAACTGATAGCTAACAATAGCAGAGTGATAGAATTAGAACTAGCAACCCCTCACCCAAAAATCCAACCCAGGACATAGCCATAAGTCAAAGCCCCAGGAAAACAGGACATGACCTTTAGGACATAACAGGATTAACCCACCACCATCAGAATACCAAAAGGGCACACTGAACCTCAGGTCAAAGTTCACGCCACAGGAACAAGTCCAAATACAAAAGCCCAAGAAGGTATAAAAACCCACCACTTCCAGCTCCATGTGGTCAGCTGCTCCAGAGCCATATTTCTGTCTGGTTCTGTAACTCAATAAACAAGAACTTTCTTTCCTAAAGCAGTCTCCATTTTGTTTATTCCCGGCTTGGACTGGACCCTGATGAAGATTTTTCTTTCAATATTTTTTTTCCTAATTCAACTTGCCTTCTCACAGAAACAGACATGATGTTAGAAACTATATCAAAAGGGAAGTCAAATCAGACCTGGTTATTATTTGACTGTGGACATAAATTCCAGGGCTGCCTGTGGGCTACGCTGCAACATTTAAAGAACATTGCAGAAAAAGCTAATGGGAAGCCACTTCTCTGTTGTTGCTCAGGAACCAGTACAACCATGTCAAAACATCAACAGGAGTCAACTTTGATGCAACTGAGATTTTGTCTTTAAATTAGTTTTCTCAACTTTGGCCACTATGTGGACTTCAACTACCAGGATTCCCCAGCCAGCATTCCAAGTAATCTGGGAGCTAACATCCATGCATTTTAAAGTTGTCAAAATTGAGAAACACTGCTTTAGACCACAAAAGAGTGGTGGGGGAGAAGCATCTCAGGTTTGGGGTGTAGCCTCAAGAGGTAATAGCACCCCTGTAAACAGCAGTTTTAGAGCATAAGGATGGAGACAAAAATGGCCTATATGCAGGACAGAAAAATCTGCATTTACAATGGGTTTTTTCTTGCTCCATATCCTTCCAAATGAAAGTGGCTATGCTTTAATCATTTAAAATCCTATAGGCTCAGGGTAACTTTAGCTTTTATCTTTGCCAGCATGGTCCAAGTAAATCAGTGAACTGATTCCAGTGTTGGCTGATGATTCCCGTTGTCACAGTCCAATATTCCTAGAGTGTATCATGTGGAGGAGGGCTGATCCATTTCAAAAGATATAGGTGTCCCTTCAAATATGGCACAGCTGTTGAACCTAATGCCATCTATTTAACAGAAGGAAGGAAGGAAGGAAGGAAGGAAAGAAAGAAAGAAAGAAAGAAAGAAAGAAAGAAAGAAAGAAAGAAAGAAAGAAAGAAAGAAAGAAAGAAAGAAAGAAATAATTTTTTCTCTGATCTTGTTAGCATCTTTTCACATGCCAGTTTAATAGCTGAACTTTTTCCTGGTTCCAAAAAGAGCTTGTTTAACTTCTATTTGTTCAGCTGCTAACAAACCTATGCAACTCACCCTGTAGGACAGTTGACACTTAAAATAAGAGTTATTTAGAGGGTGAAACCAATGTAAACAGAGAATAGCATTCCCATAACCCAGGAATTTGCTGGGTTGAAACATAATGCAAAGTGGGTGTCAAGAAGCCATCAAGTCTGGCATCTTCCACCAGCAAAGCTTGCCAAGATGTTCCAGAACAATTTGCCAACATGCTGGAAATGTAAAAAAGTACATGGAACATATTATCATTTATGGTGGACATGCCCAGTTGTGAAAAAATACTGGACTACAATAAGAAAATGGATCGAAGAAATAATAGACCAACCCGTAGACTGGAAATCAGAGATCTTTTTGTTGGGTATTTTACACAGAAAATATAGTAAAGAAATATGGTACTTAATTTTACATATAATAACAGCAGTAAGAATAGCATATCCACAGTGCTGGAAAAATGAGAATATACCATCAGAGGAAGAAGTGATAAGAAAAATCCTGGACTGTGCTGAGATGGACAAATTAACAAAAGAGATAAAAGAAAAGGAAGACACAGAGTACTATATAACATGGAACAAGTTGTATGATTGGTTGGAGACTAGAAATAAAAGAGGAGAATAAATATGGAAAGGTCAAAAGTGAAAATATGTGTATAATAATGTATAATAATAATAATATGAATTATTCTTAGTAAGAAGTAGAATATGAAGGAAGAAAAATGTAAATAAGAAACAACAGGGCAATAAGGACAAATATTCTAAAGAAGAATAAGGAGGAAATGTAAATAATAGAAGATCACCGTTACGTAATCGCTGTTAAAAAGGGGGGGAGGAGTATATATTGTGTGTGTATGTGTGTTATGTTTTGCTTTGTTTTGTTTTGTTGGTTAAAAATAAAATAAAAATTAAAAAAAAGAAGCCACCAAGTCTTCTCTTGTTCATTTATTCTTGGCTTTCTTTATCCTTCATTCTTCTCCTTGTGTCATGACAAGCAAGTTGACAGGTGCTTTACACAGCAGGTGGAAGAAGAGAACAGATGGAACAGAAGGAAGGATGGAAAGATATGGAGAGAACCTTTCCAATTGCAGCCTACCCAGGAACTGGGTTTCTCTATATATGCACACAAAAAACAAAACAACACCAAGCAAATTGGGAAAATTCCTGAAAGGGAAAAAGGCATATTTCCCAGCTAACTCTAAGCTTTACATAACCCAGGAGCTCTCAGGTTGGAAATTGCTTTTCTTAATATGAGTTTGGATCACATACAAAACTACCTATGTTGGCCAAAACATGGTTTTATTTTTTAAATATCTTCCTTCTTCTTTACAATCATGCTTTTTCACATATAAATGTTGAGGCTAAACTAGAAGTTACAACAGGCCTGATTCATACATTGTACTAATCTCATATAAACCATGATTTGCAAATTATATTGACTAGATTCATATATGTACTAAGCTGGAGTTAGTTAGGCTGCTGGTGCTGAGCATCAGATCCATCTAAAATAAGACCTCATCCATTTACAGTGGGGGGGGAGGAACAAGTGAATCTGGTACATATTATTGATACATGATTAAGTGAAGTTGGGAATCTAGCCCATCAGTGGCCTTTCCTGAGTTCCTAGATCTATTGCAGGGCTGATGGGAGAGCTGTCCCAGACTTATAGTGCTGAGGGACTTCATTTCAGCACCATGTCCAAATGTGCTGAAGATTTCATGACAAAACTAGCTTGTCCTGGAATATCTCACCCTCAATGGATATAGGACATCACATAGACCTGATCTTCATCTCCAAGTATAGGGCATGTGATCTGAGTATAGGAGACATAATCACTAATTCTTTGACACGGCAAGATCATTTCTTGGTCAAGCCACATGTTTTTGGCATCTCTGACCCCTTCAAAGACAGAAGACCATTTTCAGATAGTCTGCTCAAAGTAATTAATAGATTTGGATGATTGCATTTTTCCAGTAACCTTTTGTGGAAATTAAAAAGGACAGCCACTATGACACATTTGTTAGATTATTTACACATAACATTGCTCATATTCATTGAGAATTGGGTGCCATATGGGCAGGATTAGGCATGATGACTGAAGAAATGTCTTGTAATATTATCTGATGTTCTGGAATCTAAGAAAATAGCATCCTATGTACAGTAGTGTGAATTTCATCGTTTGTGGGCTAGGGCAAAACACTTTTAATCTCTTGGAAACTGCTTAGGATAGTGGCTGTTTTCTTTGTGATAGCTGCAGACAAGAAAAGGTGCCATTGATCCTTCTCAGGCTCCACTTCCAAGTATTTGTCATGAGCCACGGAAATGAAACCAAATTTTAAAAAAAGTCTCTTTTCCCTTGGCTGCACTCATCATCATGGCTGAGGTTCTCTAGCCACTGCCATTGAAGAGCCACATGCAGGCCCAAGGATTGTGTTTAATGCAATAACTTGACCCAAGCTAAAACCCATCTGAATAAATTATTTCTAAATTATTTAATAGAGATTCTTGAGGGTTTCTAGGTTCTGAGAGAAAGATTGATTTGCAATCAAAGTTGCAATCATCTAAGGAGTCAAATCCATTGAACACCATGGCAACATTTGCCAATCTATTAAGCCAGCTTTCTCCAGCTTGGACATCAGGGTTCTCATAGGTTGCCCACCTCCCTCAGGTTCATCCTCCAGTGATGCAGTATAGGTGACTGTCTTCTGTTGTTTTATGGAAAAGACCACCTTTTGGACAACTTTAGAATAGTAAGCTGCCCAGAATCACTTGATTAAATTGGGCAGTTATAGAAATTGAATGAATGAATGAATGAATGAATGAATGATGAATGGATGGATGGTCTTTGTGACCGCTTTAGCCTACTTCAATAGCAAGTCTCTGGGATGGAGGCTCTTATGTGAACATAGATCCCTAACCAACAAGCAGGCTACTTCATAGCTGGAGCAAGGGAGCTGCTATTCTCCAGGCAGCAGACTGAGGGAAAGAAGCAACACCATCCACCAAACACTTACATACTGTTTTTGCTGGCCCAAGATGTTTTCACAATTGCAGCTGGATGAACTGCACAATGGGATACTCAACTTCCAGCTTAATTCATCAACAGCTTCAATAGAAATAGGCAAAAGAGGCATCAGCCAGCAGGTCAGTGTCAGCCTATGAAAACTTGTTCTTATGAATGGAGAGCATTTCACACACTCCAATCAGCATGTCGATTGACTCCCCAGATCTTCTGGAGAAGATGAACCTCTAGAACTCATCAGGAAGGAAGAGATGATCATTGTTTTGCTGAACAAAGACAGGCGTTCCACAACAATATTCCTGTTTTCACCAGTTTATTTGACACATTTGTATAGGGAAGGGAAGCATGAAGGAAAACAATTCCCATCCATCCCACCAAGAATCTTAAGAAAGTCTCCAATTCCAAGCATTTCAGCAAAGCAAACGTCCAGTCCAGCAGGCAAGCTACAGACAGGTGATGCAAAAGGTGGAATATAACTACTGGCTTTGTTACTTGTTTCCCTGTCAATCACCATCTTTATGTGGGAAATCTTGTGGCTATCCTATTGTCTGGGGTGGGGGAGCATCCATGGCTCCATTTCAAAAGGCAGGTCTCATTCCACTTACAACGGATGCCAGGTGGACCTTCTAACGTGTGCTAGCAAAAATTCGCTAAAATATCATCAGAGGGATTTCTTCATCATCCCGTGGTCATTAAAGCCTCCCTACACATAAACGTTTTATTTCTTTTTATTCTTTTTTTTCCTCTTTACCATGCATAATCCATTTAGCTAGAAACAAAACAGAAACACAATTCTCAAAGTAAAAATCTTCTGTAGTTCTTCACTCTCAAAAATTCTGAGAGAATGCCCCAGTTCACAAACTCCCATATTCCAGGATTGTGATTATTTTAAACAATAAACTAAAATTTCAAAACTCATTTGCTTTTTTATATATATAATTTGCTTTATATCTCACCTCTATTGAGTTTTTCCTCTTTCCCATTCAAGGTCAAAAAAATCTTTTCCTACATACAGTATGTATGTAAGCGATCAGCCAATATGCACATACTTTTTAAAATGCTCCTATTTGCTCCTTTGGAATATTGATGTAAAAGAGGGGAAAGATGCACACAAACCTTCTAGTTGGTGATTTCAGGATCCCTTAATGGACCTTTTGATGTTGCAGGTTAACCCTTTTATTGTTACCAAATGTAAAAATGCCTATATTATACTAGGGGGACTTTACTGAAAACTAGATAGTATTTTGAAATTCTGGCAAATAAAAAACTGTGCAGGTGTACAAAACACCAACACATGCGTTTTCAAAACAACCAGGGTGTCTAAGGAAATACAGGCTTGGTGGGATGGCATGTAGAAATTTGAGGAGATCCCATCATAATCTGCTTGCTAATGTAGATGGGGTTTTTTGCAATGAAATGGAAACACACACCACATTGATTCATATTCCAGTCCCACAAAGTACAAAACCTGAAAAGCAATGATATAGTGGAAAGGAAGATTCACGGATGGAAGCAGCCTAGATGCTGAAGCCATCCTACAGATGGTCGTTCACTTCTGTTACAGGAAGAGGGATACTACAGTAATAGTTTTAATTTTAATTAGCTTGGAGCATCAAGCTAACTCCTCCAGAAGTCCATTTCTTCTTCTGACAGGATCACACCGGCTCTCTGTTTCCATCAAATTTCTGACAAGGTCTTGTCTTACTCAGCCTAGCAATTACAATATAAAGTAAAAACGCATTTACCTACAAGTCAAATATCAGATCAGGCAGTTGCTTCCTAGACCAAGGAGATGCATCAGCTCACTACCTTGATCTGTACTTTGGGGGTCACGTAGGCTCTTCTTAAGCAAGCAATTCATTTTTAAAACATTGCATATAGTCAGCAGTGATCTTATCTACCCAAAATCTCACTCACATATTTTAAATGGTTACAACATTGCTCTAAGATCAGAAGGAAGTTGTATCCTTTGGGGACTCTGGGAACACCCAGGCATACCCTTCTAAGGCTCCCCTATTCAATTTCATTTTGATCCTGATTCAGCTTGAGCTAAGATAGCCCAGATTCAAGGCTTCAGTTTTGCTGTGGCAGCTCCCAACATCCTAGCAGAGAAGTCCCTTCTCTTCCAACAACAGAGCTGTCATGTTTCACTGGACTCCTTCAGCACAACCAGCCTTTCCCTCTATGGCTCTTGAGGACAGGAGGAGAAATAGCTTCTCAAAGCAATTTTGAAATTACCCCAACAGCTGGCAAAGAATGGCTGAGAGTTTACTTCCCCACCACCGCACTCTCTGCTGATTCTCCAGTAGGTTGCTGGCCTCAGTGGCTGACATGGATGGAAGTGAGGTGAGTAACGCAGCAAGATTGCAAAGGCTCCACCAGCTTCAAGGGGATGACCTCTGGCCCCAGGCAGGGAGCATTTGAGCCGGCTCAAAGCAGGCTGGACAGTGATGCTCTTGGCTTGACTGAACTCCTGAGCCCCTCGGGGCAGAGATATCCCCAGAGGGGGGGGGAGCACAAAATGAAAGGATACCCCACAGTTGGGGGAGGGTGCCGACGCAGCGTTGTGGCTGTGAAGCCGCATGCAGGAGGGTAGCTCATGCAAGGCAGTGGCCCAGGCTCTTGAAGCATCTGTGGGACAAGAAATAGGTTAGTTCAAGCATGCCTGCTGTGGAAACTATCTCTAGCAGATTGCCCCCCTCCCCTGCCTTTTTGCCCTGCTCCTGGAGAGGCCCCTGCTCAGCCTTCCTCAGATACCTCCTCTGTATTCTCAGGTCCTCCCTCTGAGTTTTTCTTGTGCAATTATGGATGGGTAACAGATGCATTTTTCCAAAGCACCTGAAGGCAGGACAAGAAGCAACGGGTGGAAACTAATCAAGGAGAGAAGCAACCTAGAACTAAGGAGAAACTTCCTGACAGTGAGAACAATTAATCAGTGGAACAGCTTGCCTCCAGAAGCAGTAAATGCTCCAACATTGGAAGTTTTTAAGAAGAGACTGGACAGCCACTTGTCCGAAATGGTGTAGGGTTTCCTGCCCGAGCAGGGGGTTGGACTAGATGACCTCCAAGGTCCCTTCCAACTTTACTAATTATGAACATGTCTGGCACCATATTGTACAGGTAGTCCACACTCAGCGACCATAACTGGGACTGGCAACTCCCAGTAAAACCTCACATAACTGTGACAGGCTTATGACCTTCGTTTCACCTTCTGTTATTAAGTGAAACATCACGTGACATCCAGCTGGTGACAAAGCCTTACAAATGGTGATCACGTGATCACGGATTATTACGATAGTCATAAATGCATAGCGTTTTTTACACCATCATAAACTTTGAATGGTCATTAAACGAGGCAGTTGGTAAGAGAGGATTACCTGTAATAAAGCAGCTGAGACCGCAGGCAGCTCATGGAGTCACAAGTGCCTGGGCAACTGATGGCCTTTTGAGTGAATTGAAAGGATCAAGAGAGAGATACTGGGGTAGATTTTCATAACTGGCATTAATGAAGCAGTGGTGAGCTTTTGGACCGAATAGCCATGATCCATTTTTTTATTTTTTTTTTATCCACTGGCAAAATATCAGATCAAAATAAAAGCAAAGTAAAACTGGACCACAGCCAGTCTGCCCAAGAGCTCAGCCCTGGCCAAGAAAGAACTCTAAGGGAATACTCTTTTTTTCTTAGAGAGGAATACAAATTGTGGACTAAGTATGCTCAGAGCCATTTGGAGTAGAGTGGCATTAAAATAAACAATTGTACTGTATCTGTTCTTAGTAGAAGTTAATAGGTATCATACCTCTAGATTCTCTGGAATTGTATTATATAGAAGCCATGGTGGCACAGTGGTTAGAATGCAGTACTGCAAGTTGACTCTGCTCACTGCCAGGAGTTTGATCCTGACCAGCTCAAGGTTGACTCAGCCTTCCATTCTTCCAAGGTTGATAAAATAAGGACCCAGATTGTTGGGGGGGGGGAAATATACTGACTCTGTAAACCGCTTAGAGAGAACTGTGCAGTATATACAGTATATAGCGGTATATAAGTCTAAGTGCTGTTACATATTTGGCACAGCAAGGGAGGGAAGGGAGGCTGAGACTTTCCAGTTCCTCCCCAACACCAGCTGAAGTGAGGGAAACAATCGTTGTGTAATATACAGATATTACACTTTATATCTGAGAGTGTTTGAAACAATGCACCTATTTTTGCATACTGCTACGCATTTTCAAATGCATTTATGAGATTCTCTGGAGCACTCTCTTCATGGCCCACTCTTGATACCAGGGAGAAAACTAGGGGCCTCCTGATGTTTTCATCTCCGGTTCTTGACAGCCCCAGACAGCTGAAATAATGGCGGAGGCTTGTTCAAAACATCTGGAGAACATGAGATGATCTGCCTTGATCCTAAAGGATCTCTTTCTACAACAATGCAGGCTGATTGACATTTTCCTCTTCCAGCGCAGAATTATAATGTAGAGGAAGGCAGACAAACACTGCATCATTCAGGTTGATAGTGGCAACTTGGCAAAGCAGACCCCAGCATGCCACAGTGATGGATCCACAGAGGTCAAATGTCCACACAACACCCTGAACTACTAATTGACCAATCATTATGAACAGCCTATGGAATTCGCATATATAAGGATAGCTTAGGTCAGTGGCCCCCAATCTTTTGGGCACCAGGGACCGATTTTGTGAAGAGTGGTTTTTCCGTGGACCGGAGGGGGTGTGGTTTCGTGTGCTGCCTGCATCTCATGGATGGGGCTTCGCCTGTTTGCACAGATCTGTTTCTGGCATGCCGTGGCCTGGTACCGGTCCATGGACTGGGGTTTAGAACCCCTGGCTTAAGTAATCCAGAAGCCTGGATAAAGTTAGCCAGAAGTAAACTTGTTTTGTAAAGACAGCCATATTAATTGTGATAGCCCAAAAGCTGCACGTGAGCATTTTTCTGCTGCTAAACAAACTCTTCAGTGTCCAGTTCTGGACACAGTAATTGGCCTTCTCAATCTAAACTGGGTAGTAATTCAGTAAAAAAACAATAACAGGATTCAAAGAAACCTAAGCTGGTGTTAAAGTTATATTTTTCTTTAGTGAACCCACCTCTGGGGGGGGGGTCACCATTTTCCACGCTGTCCTCCAGATGTTGCCTCTCCAATTTCTTCACCCTCTGCACCTGGCCCCATCTTGGTGATATGGCGCAAAAAGGATGTGGCATTGATTGCTCGCTGCAAAAACAAAAATGGGAATCAGACCCCTCCTCCCAGAAGCACAGAAAATTGTCTTGACTGAAAAAAGCTAGCAGATGAAAGTTATCAATGGAAGTATTAACGTATCCATCAGTGTTTTACTGCTGATAAGCTCAGCTATGTAGGTGGCTGTAAAGCTGGCGACAATAGCTGAGAATTATACAAAATGATATCATATCTCCTTTGATTAAAGAGCACAAGTCAGCAGACAATCAAACAAGTCAAAGCTGGAAGAAGAGGGCTTGTATACAGAATTGCAGCAAACCTATCACCATGATGTATTAGTTTACCCATTCATTTGTTGAAGATGATTTCTTCTCTAAATTATTGAACATAACTTTTTTGTCAACATCACCCTGAGTACCAAAGTAGAGCAAATGAAAAAGGAAGGCTGATGTCATTTATTTTTATTTAATTCTAATTCTAGTCCACCTAATAACCAGAACACGTTGGGTGGGTTACAAAGTACCCTAACAAAGTAAAACTCTAGAAGCGAAAATAGTAATCAATAAAAAGGAAAGGAAAAAATGTACAAAATTTAAGTTTAGTTATAGCCAATTTTCCCCAGCTTTCACGGAGAGCAGAATGATTTTAGTTGAAAGGGAAGTTTTATTTACTTTCTCAATTTGCCATCTAAAATGTAGATTCATCCATGCTTAAAACGGAGCCAAGCTCAATGCTGCCAAATCTGTATTCTTTATAAAAGGTGACAAGATGTGGGGGCACAGAGGAGCAAGGGGGAGACTTCACCTTCAGGTTTTACAAAAAGATAACTTTTTAAAAAGGTGAGAGAGGAAGCTTGATGCACAGGAGTCACAGAATAAAAACAAATCACAAAAAGATGGAATTTGAATATTGTAGAGTCATCAAGAGTAAGGCCTTGTTCACAGGAATCTTGATAAGGAACACGCCTGTCAAGATGCAGAAATCTGCCAGCACTAACCCATTTAATTAAAAGGTACCAGCTTTCGTGAGCTGCAGCTTTATCCTGTCAAGAAGGTGAGAACTAAATTGCTAAATATTGCAGTAGGCTCCTCTTATGTTTTTCTACTGTTAACGAGGTGTCTCTAAAAAGATATAATTCAACTTATCCAGGCCAGGGGATACAAGTAAGAAGATTCATCACAGCTACCAAAATCCAGTATCCCTCTCTTTGTAATTAAAAAGGGAACACAGAAAAAAATGCAGAACCATATCCAGCTTGAGTTGACCTTCAATTTTTGACCTTACCTTCCACTGACTGCGAGCAAAGTTCTTCTGAATCTGCTCACACACCGATCCATGAATGTCCTTCTCCAGAGCTGTATCCCCAGAGATCCTGACAGATGTAAAAGGGAGGGAAGTAAATCCTTTCAGTGTTTCCTGAATTGTGTGTGATCTATTTCCTTATACACAAGAATTTTTGTTTTACCTCACCTCCTGGGCTTCAACTACTCTATATGGTCTTTGAAGGGGAAAGGTGGCTTGATGTCTTTGCTACTCACTGTCATAGGAGCTACGCAGTGTTTTTTGTACATATCCAACCAAAGGCAAACCACTGTAAGACTATGACAGTAGTGGAAGTAGGGGATGCATATAATTTTTCTTATTTATTTTTTGTGCAGACTGATATAAGGGAATCTTTGCTTTTCCAGCATCTGCAGTAGCTTAGGACAGGGCAAGATTCTTTGTTCTCTGTCCTCAGCCTTGAAAGAGTAGAAGATCTTCAACAAAAATTGTCAAGATCCATAATCCTTTTAAGGGACTGAGGCAATGGGAATGGAAATGGTAGTAGTGTGGAAGAATGGTTAAAAGAGAAAACTTTTATCCCCTCAGATAGTGAGACTCACCAGGGATGTTGCAGAGCTTGTTCACAAGTAAATCGTTTCTCAGGGTCCCGTTCTAGAAGATGTCGGATGAAATCTTTGGCTACAGGGGAACAGAAACACAAACCTCCTATTTTACTTTAAAGTTATCAGAAAAAGCTTTTTTTTCTGGCAACTAAATAGATATAACGGCCCCGTTGTGACTATGTTGAGTATCTTAGCTACTGAACCATCACTTTGTCATTTAGTGTAACACAGCAAGATGGGGGAATGTCAAGAGATAGCTATCTATGCCAGCTTACTGCCATTCATAGTGAAATGCTGAAAATCTGAGAGAAAATATCCCTAAAAAAGTCTAGTTCTCATTAAGATGGTAGATCAGAAGGATACGGGGTTAGGGTGTCAATAAAAGGCAAGGTGGCAGCTTCAAGCACATATTCAAAGCCCTGCCCTTGTTTTACATGCAGTGCACGTTAGAAAAGGTGGGGCTTTGATCACACAGCCATAGCCACCATCTTCTTTTTTTAATCCCTTCTCAGGGATGTTTCCTTTTTACATCACAAGGTTTAATGATTCTCTTCATTCCTTTGAGAAAACGAAGCATGTAACAAATAAGAGCATTGCCAAGCAAGGGTTAACAAAGGTGTACAGAGGTTTAGGGGACACTTCTTATCCAATTTTTGAACATGAATTTTCCAGCCCATTTAAATCTATAAAAGAACACACAGTTGTTGAAATGTTGCTATTCAAAAGATTTTTTTAAACGGCAAAATGTGTACATTAAAGTTTACACTATTTGGAGGGATGTATGCACAAAAATGGATTCTGTCAGAAGAAAAATGGTTTGCAAAATGCTTACTTGGCAAAAAGTAAAGAACATGCACACATTTGTTGTTGTTATCAAATGTGTCTACTGGTGGGGAAAAGGGGCCAACCAGAATATGCAGATAGCAAAGTGAATGGGATGGCTAAGGCATGGATTTTTAAGGAACAGGATTGAAGTCTTTTCCCCAATCACTATATTTCGGTCAAAACACGTTCCCTTTAGAGAGAATCTGAACAGGGTTTCTATAGCTTCCAAGGTTAGAACTGGCAAGAGGCCCTTCCCCTGCCACTTTCTTTACTCAAATGTGCACTCACCTGAATCAGAGATATCATCCCAGTATGGGGAGTCAAACTCATATTCAGCTTTCAGGATCTGGTTGAAAAGCTCGGAGTCGTTCTCATCATAGAAAGGAGGATAACCACAAAGTCTGCAGATTGGAGCACAGGGACCAAATCTCACATACGGATGCAAAAACATGTTACAACTTGTTCCTTGTGCTTAAATAAATGCTAAAGGGTGGACTGTTAGTGATGTAGAAAGGTACCCACAAGATATAGGAGATGACACCAAGTGCCCAGGAATCCACTGCTTTTCCGTAGGGCTTCTGCTCCAGGATCTCCGGGGCTACAAAGACACAATGGCCGAGAAGGAGAGGAAGGTCTGAGGCTTTATTTAGAGCTGTACCACCAATTCAACTTTCTGCAGCTTAACATTGTTTTATATATGAAAAGAAGAAACAGTTGCCCAATAGAGCAACTACAATTCCCATCAGCCCCAGCCAGCTATCAGGGAACTGTTATCAACAAAACCGATTAATGTTGATCTTGCAAACTCCACCTTTGTATTGAGTATATCTACTTACAGCCAACCCTCCACCCCTATAGCTGTGTACAAAAAAGGACAAAAAAAAGCATCTCTGTGTACTGTTTTTTTTCTTACTGTTAAACCACTTCGTTAATTGAAAATAATACTGAACAAGCACATGATTTCTAGGACCATGGACTGCAAAAAGAATCAGTCAATCAGTCCTGGATCAAATAAAGACTCACGGTCTCTTGTGGTGACATTCAGCAAGCAGACATCTGCATAATTTGGATATAGATATGAGCAGAAGATGGACTAGAAAAAATATTATGCTTGGAAAGACAATAGATAAGGTAAATGAACAAATTCAGAGAGATTATTGAAATCTTCTTGGGACGGCTAATTGTTGCTACTGGAGACAGATCAAGGTGCTCACCATTTGTCCATTCAGCCAAAAGTTGAATCCAACTTATGGGCATCTAAGTGACTAACTTATCCTGTAATCCTGTCCTTGTAACCTTATAATTAAAGTGCAGAGTTATTTTCCAGACTATAACTGTAAGATTCCCATGTAGATTCGGCGGCATTGCTCCAGCACCTCCCTGTTTGGGTTAAATGCAATACAACCCTTTCTTTTGTTGTCAATATTTAACGCAATTGCCAGCTGCAAAGTCTTATGCTCATTGTCATCTCTTCTTGACATATCTATTTTTAAAGCCCACCACCCATGTAGCATCCAAACAACAGGAGGAAAGAGGAAACAGTAAGGGTTTAAGAAAATACATAATATCCCTAATCCCTTTTGACTCTAACTCAAAGCCCCCAGCACCTTGAACAGTGTCCTCCCAGAGATAAGGATGATGCTCTCTTTCCTGGAGTTCTGGAAAGCCTGGGAAAATATGGCTTTGATCCAGGTATGGGGTTGATGTATTATTGTTTGTCTAGGACACCTGTCTTGTTGGATTTTTATTGTCTGTAAGATTATTTTAGCCTGGGCTGTCCATTTGGTTTAATGTTTTATCTGTTGTTATGGGGGGGGGTTCCTGGTTTTGTGCACCACCCAGCATCTGTTGGAATTGGATGGCTTATAAATGCCAATAAATAAAATAAACAAATAATAGCTTTGTGTATTCCTTAACTGGATGAAAGCCATCGTTAGCTCTCCCACTTGTAAACGAGCAGATGGACTGTGAGCAGATGGATTATGAATTGGAATATGGTACGAAAGCATTGCAAAATCTCATTTTGTAGATGAAAAAGGGAAATGGAAAAGAAATAATTGGCAGCCTTTAGAACTGGGAAAAAACACCCCCGATGGTTCAGAACCCATTGGAGTATGAGTTTTAAGGTTTTGGGTTGCAGTTTCAGGTCCTTATATTAGCCCCTGCTCAAGAACAGTGGAACAAATCAAATATTGCAAAATAAAAATAAAAATAAAATGCTCTTTAAGATATTTGTATAATGTAGTCTTTCCTTGTCATGGACTATTATCATTGAACATTGAATTGAAGTTATCAATTTTCTACAGGAAAGGCTTTGTACATCTATGCAAGAGTGGCTGTTAACACAGAACATGTTCAGCCCTCACCTTTCTTCATTGCCACACTCACCAACATAGCCCGGGGTTCCACAAGCTGTAGACATGATACCATCAGCCTCAATTTTAGACAGCCCAAAGTCCGTAATCATAATCTTGGCATCCTCAAATGGTGTAGCATATAGGAGATTTTCAGGCTGTTTGGACAAGCAAAACAGAGTAAAGTTACATACACCATGTTTCGTATGTCTTCCTTCCCATAAGGATCTTAAGAGTTTCTAGTTTCTATACAACCAAAGATAATAAGAGTAGAGCTTTGCCCCCACTTGCATTTTCTTTCTGCTCTGTCCTAAAGGCATTGCCTTCATCTCCTTGCCACCCCATGACTGGCAGAGGCTTAAGTTGTCCTTAGCTATACTGGAATTAATGTAGTTCCCCCCCCCCATTCCAACATCTTCCATGTCTTCACGGGTGCAAAACAGATTCTTGTATAAATATGTCTGGCAGCTAAAATTGGATGGCAGCAAAGAGATTCAAAAAACTTTCTCTTTCTCTCTGTGTGTGTGTGTGTGTGTGTGCACGTACACCATCTAATGCCAATTTTCCCTTCATGGATCAGTAAGGGGATTTGTGTATTCCAATAATACTTGCGAGCTACATCATTATGTAATTTCCAGGAGTGTCACAAACCAGAGATTATAACCAAACCCAAGGAAATAGCAACCCACTCCAGTATTCTGTCAACAAAATAGACATTTACAACTAGGAGAATCTCAAAATAATACTGGACAATGACTCTCCCCACCTCCAATTTGAAAGGAATCCTACAAGTATCGGGAGCAACCAAAGGAGGTAAGCACAAATAGGACTGGAGTTTGTGATTTGACAAAAGCTAAAAGGATGTTCAGCTGCTGATGCATCCAAAGCAAAATAAAAATCTGATGCAGACATGTGTATCTCTGGCACATGAAATGTGAAATCCATGAACGAGGGCAAATTTGATGCTTTCAGAGCAGAAATATTAAGACTGACATTCACATTCTGGAAATCAACAAAATCAAATGGACTGAAACGCATCACTTCACATTAGTGAGACACTATATTTTTCGCCGTGGGCAAGAGCAGAAGAAATGGAATAGCCATCACTGTTAATGAAAAGGTATAAAAGCCAATGCTTAGATACAACTTAAAAATGATGGAATGATCTCAAATGAGTTCAAGGCAATCCAATCAATGTTACAAGTGATTCAAAACTATACTCCAGCCATAGATGCAGAGAAAATTTTATGGCAACATGCAGCACCAAAAGAAGAGATCATACTAAAATGATGTTTGTTTTTTTGTTGTTTGGTTGGTTCCTTTGAGACAGTCTTGACTCCTGGTAACTGCTTGAACAAGTTCCTGGAGAATGACTGGTTCAAGGTCACCCAGCTGGCTTCATGCCTAAGGTGGGACTAGAATTCACAGTCTCCTGATTTCTAATCCGAGGCCTTGACCACCAAACTGGTTTTCAAAACACTATGTAATACCATCTGGAATAGGAAAACTTTTCTCTGTGTACAAAATAAAGTAGGAGAGAGACTAATAAGAGTTCTGGCAAGAAAATTAAATGTTTATAATACCTCCTTTCAACAATTGAAAAGGTGACTCTACACATGGACATTACTGGATGGACAATGGACAACTCAATAAACAAAAACAGATAAGCTCTCTTCGGTCAGCACAAAGAAGACCCGGTGCTAATTACGGCACAGATGACTACTCCCTGCCTACAAATTACAACTTAAACAAAATAATCAAGCCAACAGGATTCAACTTCATGATTATGCAGCAAGGGTAAAGAATAGATCTTACAGACTCCGTTTGATAAATAGACTGCTTGAAGATTTCTAGACAAAAATCTGTGAATTTCTTAAAAATGGAACAAACAAAAGTATCCTGAAATGCAAAAAGCAGAACAAAGCCTAGTAGCTGTTTGATAATATTATCCTGAGGGAAGAACTGCTCTACTAAAACAAGAACCAGAACAATAGAGTTTGATTATCTTTATTAAGATACCTTTACTGTCATTGCTGAGCCCCAGTCAAAGCAAATTGGGAACCCCAAATTTAGGTCAGTAAGGACTATATAGAAACAGGGACAAATGTGCCAATCCATAGCACATAATTCATTACTTAGTATAGCTCAGAAGAGGTGTGGTGGCTTAGGGATTAAGATGCTAGGCTTGTTGACCAGAAGGTTGGCAGTTCAAGTAATGAGTACCACATGATGGAGTGAGCTCCTGTTCTTGCCACAGCTCCTGCCAACTTAGCACTTTGAAAACATGCAACTGCAAGTAGATAAATAGGTACCCCTTTGATGGGGAGGAAACAGCACACTGTGCACCTCAGTGTATAGTCATGCTGGCCACATGACCACAGAAGCATCTTTGGACAATACTGGTTTCCTCGGCTAAGAAACGAAGATCAGCACCGCTCTCTAGAGTCAGACAAGACTGGACAGGGGAAATCTTTACCTTTACCTTTAGTAAAGCCCACAATCTTAATCTTACTAATGAGGTAAGTATTTGGATTTAGACCTTGAGATACCATTTGATTTTTCTTTTTACCTAATTTGCCTCACTGAGCAAAGAAGCTGGGCCTTCTGCTTATTCCCTTTATTGTGATAAGGGGCCCTACTTCATGCATCCCTTAGCTTGGCAAATTTAGTCTATATCTTCTTATCCACTTCTTATCTCAGGTCAACAATTGTTGGTTTCAGTGTGAGAAAGCTTTCTGCATTCCTCCTTTGTTATTTGTGTAACTTGGGTAAATATATTACATCATCTTAAACCAGAAAGAACTGGTCTCTTGTTTTCTTTGCGAACCAAGAATAAATTTCCCACTTCTAACTCCACAATACATCAGAAATAACTGAAGAAAAGCAGAAAGCAAATGGTAATCCAAAGCTAAATTCCAGGAAAAAAAACAGCAAAAGGCAAGGAATTATATATATCAGTAAGTAACACAAGGAAACTGAAGAGAACATCTGAACGGGAATGAAAAGAGCTTTGTTTTTAAAAAATTCATAAAACAAATAGCAATAGCACTTAGAGTTATATACCACTCTGGGAGGTTTACAATGTCAGCATATTGCCCCCAACAATCTGGGTCTTCATTTTATTGACCTCAGAATGATGGAAGGCTGAGTCAACCTTGAACTGGTCAGGACTAAATTCCTAGCAGTGAGCAGAGTCAGCCTACAATACTGCATTCTAACCACTGCACCACTACGGCTCATAAAAGGATCTTTTTTAAAAATATGAGCATGAAAAGACAAAAGAAAGATATACTGGAGAAGAAACATATCAAGAAAAGATGGTGCAAACATATAAAAGAATTATAAAGAACGTTCCCTCAAACAATAATATATATAAAGATTTGACCACTGTGTTGAAACAAGGTGTCCTGGAAAGTAAAATTAAATGAGTCCTAGAAAACACTGCTAACAATAAAGCTGTAGTAGATACCGCAGAGGCTTTTACAGGTTTACAAAATGATGCAGTTAAAGTGATATTTGAGGTTGTTAAGCAGGAATAGAAATGAGAGGAAAAGATCAATTTATATTCCAATACTTTTTAAAAAAGTGAAGTGTTAAGAAATACTCAAACCACTGAATTGAACTTATTTCATAATGTTAGTAAGATAATGTTCAGGATTCTGTAGTTCAGAATTCATATATGGAACCAGAAAAAGTAAAAGGATAAAATGAACTAGAAACCACATTCTTAACTTCCAGGGGATAATAGAAAAGGTAAAGACATCTATTTTTGTTTGTTGATTATACAAAGACCTTTGACCATACAGAGCAGTGTTTCTCAGCAATGTTTCTCAGTGTTTCTCAGCAATGCTGGCTGTGGAATTCTGGGAGTTGAAGTCTACATGCCTTAAAATTGTCGAAGTTGAGAAACACTGATACAGAGCACAACATTGTGAATAGCCCTTGAAAGGATAGTGTACCTGGCCACCTCACCAGCCTACTGAATAATTTGCACAATAACCAGGAAGCAACAGTTAAATCACAGAGAAACTAAACCATTCATAATTAGAAAGGAGTATGCCAAAAGTGCATTCTATCATTTAGTTCATATGCAGAATAAATTGAGAAAAGCTATAGAAGAAGAAGTAATTGGAATTGAATTTGTTGGGAAACATCAATAACCTCAGATATGCTTAGATTTGCTTCCCATTGACCATAGTATTGGGAATCAAAGAAAATTTAAGAAATTTCATGTTGAAGATGAAAACAAAAAATACAAAACTCTGCTTCTCATTCATAAAAGCCAATTTGCTTCTTACTAGGAAAAGACTGGGGGTGGGAGAGGGACAACTAAGATTACAAGAAATGCCAACCCAACAAAACAGTGAGAGAAGTTAAAGTGATGACAGACTTTATCTTCCTCACTCAAAGGCTCAAAAATCCACAAGCTAAAGAAACATCTGCCACTTTAAAAAAAGGTTATGATAAACCTGGATAAAGTACTAAAGACATGTATTGCAATAGCCATGTTCTTCCCTGATGTAGCATATTGCTGTGAAAGCTAGGCAATAAGAAAGACTACACAATGAAAAGATGACGCTCTTAAATTATAGTGCCAGATAAAATTGTTCAGTATACCTTGGACCACAAGAAGAACAATTCTGTGCTAGAAGAAGATAAAAACTAAAACTTAGGTATTTTAAATCAGAGACATAATGCCAAGACAGGAGTCACTGCAGAAGAACCCAGAGGCTTGGAAAAATTGAAGGTATTTTTTTAAACAGAGGCTAACACAAGATAAAATGGTCAGGCACTATCAGTGGTGACAAAAAGTTCTATTGATAGTAACAGCCTCACTAATGATCATGGAGAGGACAGAAACTGATTCATTCTTCCAGGCCTAACATAAGAATGGCATGCTTTGTTAGATGCTGGGTAGGCCTCAATCACTTGTTTGAGATCAGCTGTGGCTCTCCAGACTAGCCGTGGTATTGTTCCACAGAGCAGTGCTCTAACTGGACAGTTATTGGGATGAAAATGCTCATCGCTATCAAACAAAAATATTGCATCTCCTCCATTTCCTATTAAGACTGGTCCAATGTCCGCACACAAATGTGGGACTTCCTCTACTCTGCATTCATCAATCAGCACAGTACTTTCGACATTTTTTTCCATGCACAGCAGCCATTTGCTTGTAAAAGGAGGAGGACTCTGATGCAGCAGGAGCAAAACCTGCATCTTACTAAGTGACAACTGCACCCCTATTCAGAAGGTTAATTGAGAGCAGTGTTTCTCAATTTTGGAAACATGAAGATGGGCAGATTTCAAATCCCAGAACTTCCCAGACAGCATGGCTAACGGGAGAATTCTGGGAGCTGAAGTCCGCCCATCTTCAAGTTGACAAGGTTGATAAATACTGATTTGGGGGATGGAATGTTTCCCATGTTACATTCTGATCTTTCCATCTTCCTCCACTTCCTTCTTCCAGTTGGCCTATTTTCCTGGACCACCCAAAAAATGACCCTGAATCCGGTTTCTTTCTCTGGAAAACAGCATTTCTTGCAGAAAGCAGCTTTGTATTGTTTTTAGTTCTGCTGACTAAATTCTGCCTCACAGATTGTAACAGAGGACAGAGTAACTGCAATAACACATTACAGTGAGTTTCACATTCTGAATTTTAGTCCTAATGCAAATAAGATTACACATGAAGGGAGAATTAACCATTCCTGCCCTTTATTCCCTTTCAGTACCTACCTAATTGCAACATTAAAAGCAGAGATTTGTGAGAACTCCAGAGGAATAAATTATCCCACTCTTGATCCTCCCAACTGCCAGCTTTGGACTAAAAGTATCCCTCAGAGCAAAGCCCTACATTTGCTTAATCATTGCAAAGAGCTGGCACAAAGTCTGGTTAAGATAAACCTGCCATTTTTTTATTAGACAAAAATTAAGTATACAAAATTCAGCTGCTTCCTCCGTGTAGCCTCACTCTTAATTTACATCTTGATTATGCCAACATGTGACAAAGAGACAGAATCCAGGAGCTGATTTTATATTGAAGTAACATATTCAGAAATTTGTAGATCACATTTTAGAATAATCTCTTCCCTTCAGCGTTAATAGCCAAGTACTCTGGCTACTTTACAAATACAGCCATGTACCTTAGCTATATTACAAAATCTATGTTCTCATTAACATCCCAAAAGCAAAGCTGTTTCTGTACAACACACTGGGCCAGTTTAACACACAACATAACCCTGGCTAATTTTTATTTTCAATTCAACTTTCCTCCCAGTGATGTGACTCTTATAACAAAAGGCTGGAAAGAATTCCAAAAACTAGGCTTCACATATCTTTTTAACCTTGTTTTTGCTGGTAATGGCAGCTTAGTTTTTGTGCCAACAGATACCACTCAGGTAGTTTGTAGTTCAATTTATTTTGGAAATCCAGAAAAATAGGTTAACTCAATAACCAGACTAAATATAAATGTCTAACAGCAAAGCAGGAGTTCCTAGTCTGGGGGAGGGGGGTTGGGGTCCTCTCTCTTGCATAAAGTTGGGACCTGTTGAACACCCCAAAGCATCCCAACAATACTCACTTTGAGATCCCGATGAACAATTCCCAGATCATGCAGGTAATTCACAGCCTCTAGCACCTGCCGGATGAGTTGGCTGGCATCCTTTTCTGTGTAATAGCCTCGTTCAATGATGCGATCAAAGAGCTCTCCGCCTGTCACCCTGTGCCCAGGAGAGAACTGGTTTACATTCACATCCTTTCAGCAAGAGGAAGAATCCAACCATCAGGAACAATTTTCTTCCCCAACTGAAAAGGGTGGCCTGAGAACCCAACATGCAGCTTATAGGGATAGTGCTGATTTTATGCCTTCGAGTCAATTTGGCGTAGTGATTAAGGCATCAAACTAGAAACGTGGAAACCGGGAATTTTAATCCCACTTTAGACACAAAGACAGTGGGATGACCTTGGTCCATGGAAGAAGGGCAATCTTGCCAGGAAAATTGCAGGGACTTGTCCAGGCAGTCACCAGGAGTCAACACTGATTCAAAGGCACAATTATATGCACATACATACATACATACATACATACATACATACATACTGTATATTTGGTATGGTGAGCTCCAGAGCTTCTCTTCATACCAGAAAAAGAAAACTGATCCTATAAACTGGGATCCTTATTTGAAGGGTCCATGGTGTTGTCTCTCTCCAGTTCTCTCCTTCAAACTCATTCTTACATGGACTTGAAATAAAACTAAATATATCTGAAATATCATTTGCACTTGATTCTCTGCAGACTTGTCTTCCCTATATTAACTGGTTATTAAAACCAGCCCTTCCCAAGCTGGCACCCTTCAAATGCGGTTTCTCAAATGTCAATCAGGACTGCATCAATCAGGAAAGGATTAATTTTAGTTGTAATCTCATTGGATGCAAGGACCTTTTTCTTTGAAGAAACTACATGCATTGTGATCTACATGGAATTGTAATGCCATTTTCCATCCCTCCAGAAGTAGACATTTATCTCAGAGGACAAATTCTCTGCCCCAGATCTCACAAGTAGAAACACATTCATAGGGTAGGGACTTCTACTCACAGCTGCATGGCCAGGTACAAATGAGTGGGACTTTCATAAATATCTTCCAGAGCAACAATGTTCTCATGTTGAATCCTACAACAAAAATTAGGAGATGGGAGAGTGAAGGGCAACTTCACAAAGGGTATGTGTTGTCAAGCACCAGGGAAATCAGGAAATCCAGGCAATCCAAATGTGTATAAAGACTTATTGTAAGCTTGAGTCCTCTACAAGAATCTGAACTACTAATGGTCAAAGGAAATTAGCAGATGGGATGAACTCAGATCTCTTGTGAGCACGAAGGGACTCGTGACAGATGACATATTTGACCTCTCCCTCGGGCTCAGCCTGGTCATCCCCTATATGTATAGGAAGCATAATAAAAGCCATGTAGATACTCCTAAGGCTTAATGTTTGATTAGAGTTAGGTGAAGCCCTACTCAGATAGGAATCTCACTAGGGACACTCCTCTAGTTAAAGTGCTCTCCATCAATCCTTGGGCAAAAAAGTATCCTGGCATAAAATATGCAGCTCCTATTGCCAACCACTAGCCAGAAAATGGTGCTTATTTAAAAATGCTTGTTTATTATATATAGGGCAAGTTAAGGAGCCTGGTGGATTTCTGTAGTTTGGCTTCCCTCTTCTTCCCCCAAACATTACCAGCTGGTGAGAATCCACCAGTCAGACTATTTAACTGAGATGGGGGCAGAGGAGGAAGCAAGTTCTGATAGGTGGATTATATATCTGCCAGCTGTACACCAAGACAGTGAGAGGTGGCAGAAAAAGAGGACAGCAGGTTCCTTACACACAGGGTTGTGATGCTATGGTAGGATTAGAAATTTAAAGAGTAAAAAGGCCAGTTCTCCCCATTTCAACTGATTTCTCTCCCAGTTGTGGTGTGGAAATCACCACACTGTTCTCCCACATTTTTCAGCAAAGCCAAAAAAAAAAAAGAGCTGATAGGAATTGGAGACAGCTGCATGGTGCAGCTGACAGGTGTGGGTGGGTTGCATGGTAAGGGAGTTCTGCCCCAGTTCTAGTACCTGTTAGCTGTTAGTTGGGCTGATCTATTTTTTTAAAAAACAGGTCTTTTAGCTGGGGATCAGTTTGGAGGCTTGATGGGTACAGGGGGAGAAGCTGGTTTAAAAGACCCACATTCTCCTACTACTGTCCTCAAATGGGCAGCATGGCCCCAGAAGACAAGACCAGACAAGGACCCCCACCAGCCTAAAGTTGCCAGTAGGTATCAAGCTGATCCTGTCCATTAGGGTGTCACTATAAATGAATGCTGCCTAAGGGAGAAGACATTGTTAAGGATGACTTAAGGCCATTCAGATGTGGGTTGGCAGTGAGCTGAAGGCAAGGTCAGGAGATCACGACCAAAAAACCCCACAACTGCTAGGACTTGTTTATTTCATGGTTAAGGGCAAATGGGAAAAAGTGATAAATAATCCTGAGACAATTACTATCACTAACTTTAACCTGGCTAGAGAAATCCTTAGGAAAAGTAGTCACTCTGAGGTTCTTAGCTGAAGGCTAAAATGTGGAATAAATCAAATTACCCTTCAAAATTCACTGAAATCCCTGCTAAATGTGGTGTGCTTCTTATTTAAGCCCAGACACTCCCAAAAGTTAAAAGAATGGAAAAGTGCACTCAAGAGAAGGAGATCAAAACCATATGGAAACCACATTCCCTTACTTAAAGAGAAAAGACATTGCCTTCTGAGTCCAGAACTGTGGTAGGTTGGCCTGTGCAAAAAATGCTTGCAGGTCAAATTGCCTCTCTGATTTTCTCTTTGCCATACAGCTATTAAGGACAGACAATGTTATCTCTTTTCCATATCTGGAAACTGGACTCCCTACAAGATCAGTGAAATATCATCTATACTTGTATTAAGTTATTGTTATTAACTGAATAAAATGAGGTCCCAAAACAAAAATGGATGCTGAGCCCTGAACCATGAAACTCATTTTACATTCTGGAACAAAAGTGCAGAAATGCAAACTCACTTACTTTTTGAGTACAGCAATTTCATTCTCCACAGCTGCTTCTTTACCTCGCAGTGCTTTTTTAGGAATACATTTGAGAGCTACAAGGCGCTGCGATCCATGTTCCTGGGCCAAGAGCACTTCTGAAAAAGCCCCCCTGTCAGAATAAGGATTAAAGAAAAGCAGCATAGATGCATGTATGTGTAAGTACTCACATATACATAAGCAGTCACTAAAGTTTCTTACAAAAATCCAATTGCAACAGCAATTCAGCAGTATACACATAAGTATGTTTGTGCCCAACTAAATTGTGATTTCTAGGAAAGCTGGCTTTGGTTTTGTTTGGGTTTTTTTTTCTTAAATTCCTTGGAAACCTTTGGCTGAACGAGATGTTAAGCAAAAAAGCATTATGAATGTAAGGGGGAAAGTGTTGCCATGCCACCAATGTAATTCTTTTAACTCTGCAGATTGTCTGAGTTTAGAGTTGCTACATGAAGAAAAAAAAGGTCAATTTGCTTCAAACTGTTCTGGGACAAAGAAACAATTGTGTGTTCTTCAGAATATGGAATCAGTCAACAGAACTTTGCTTTATTTTTAAAAATAGGAGATGGGGACAGAATGAATAATTCAAAGAGGGGAAAGTTTGTTTTGTTTGGGGGGGGGAAGGATTATGTTTTGTTTTTGGCTTTGCAGGAGGGAGACCATTCAAAGTAAGCCAGAGTGACTGAAATACAAAGATGATAGAAATTTTTGAGACTTACTGTGCAGGTTCCCCAAGGGTCTTCAACTCCCCACCCCACACACACACAAACACCCTCCAATCTTTGCTCCACCACACACCAACTGGAGTTAATTCAAACATGTCTCTTCCCTTGATAGGCACTTTATGATTTTGGAATAAACTGGGTGAAGCATCTACAGCAGTGGTGGCGAACCTATGGCACCATGCTAGAGGTGGACTCAGCGCCCTCTCTGTGAGCACACGCACCGTCATCCCAGCCCTGCCTCCTCCCATGGCCCCCTCCTCACCAACAGCCCCCCCCCCAGAGGAGAGTCGCCCTGGGCACAGCCCATGCAAAGCAGCGCAGCCAAGGACATGGTAGTCGGGTAGCAGGGACAAGACTCTGCCCTTGCGCCTCATCGCATGCAGATGATGCTGTGTGGCACGGGCGGAGGGCATGACCACCACGGTGCTGCTGGGCTACTTGGGTGATCTGTGGCAGGCCATGGAGGTGGTGGGTGGCCCAGCAGGCAGGGCGGAGCGAGGACAGGAGTGGGAGGCAGTTTTTGGGCACTCGGTCTCTAAAAGGTTCGCCATCACTGATCTACAGTGTGTCAAGTATGCAAACTGGTAACATGGATAAAGATTTTTCAGGGCTGGCTGACTCATTCTCCTGTGCAAACCTGATCTCCTAGTGCTGCAGAAAAAAACAACAGAGAGGCATTCCCTAGGAAACCTGAGCAAACGAAGAAGCCTGTTTGATCTACCTCTGGAAAGGGATTTGGATTTTCTGCCCTTCCTCCAAACTGGAAGGCTTGGTCCATGTGGTTAACAAAGGGTTAACCTGTCTTCTCTCCCACCCATCCCTCCCCAAATTCCCTCTGGCTCCTGGTCTATTATTGTCCAAAGCACGTCTGAGGGCATCGAAGCCAATGGGATCACAGTATGCAAATTAAGCAAACAGGCTGCAGCATTCCCGGGGTCTTTCTCTGCAGAAGAGGCTCTTCCAGGAGGGGGGAGCACATCCAGCCACAGAGGCTGGATGGCTGGGGGGGGGGGGCAGGCTGAGGACCTCAGGGCAGGGAAAGCAGATGGAGAAGCAGTCAGCATCACACTAGGGATGGAGAACAGGAGAGGGGAAGGCAGATCTCAGACCTGCAAACATTCTACCACGTTGCACATGTGAGATTATCTGCTACGTGGTGGGGGGGCGGGGGAATACATTTTTAGACACCTATTTAAAATCATACCATCTTTAACATCAATCCAGTGCTTTAATACTGGAGGGGGAAGGAGGGAAGCGTGGTCTAGCTGCATGATAGATGTGCGAGGGTAAGATGCAACTGGGAAAGAAAAAAAGAGAAATGGAAGCGGGTGGAGGAAAAGCAAAATGACTGAAGCTATGACAGCCTTCTTCAACCTTGCACGCCAAGACTCAGAATCCCCCACACAACGTGGCCAATGAGATTCCCAACAAATCACAAGTTGGGGAAGATGAGTGTAAAAACAGAGAAGGGCTAATCCCAGAGCCTGGAAAGAAACAGAGGGGGAGATGAAGCCCGTCAGGGCAGGGTTCACAGAGCAGGAGAGCATCCATATGCAGATCTCCAGCCAGCCCTTCCTTTTTACTCACGCGCCCAGCTTCTCCTTGATGTCGTAGACACTGGCAATGTCTTCGACTGTTTTCTTCCAGCCTTTCCCAAGAGGCATTATGAACAGCTCAAAGCAGGCCGGCCAGAAAGAGCTAGGGACAAGGAGGCAGAGAAGAGGAGAAAAATGTTACACAGACAGGGAAATTTTGTAATGGAAACATCTAGAAAGGGGTCAGCCTGTTCCCATGGCTCCTTGGGACAGAAATTTCCTGGCCACTTCTCTCTACTGTCAGATACTGAAGAAGAAATTTTGGTTCCAAAATGGAGATTTAAAAGGCAACACGCAAGTACATTTGGAGCTACACATCACCACAAAGTTCATTTCTGGTCCCAAATATTCTTGAAATAAAAGGAAAGGCAGTTTTCTGAAGATCCATGTCCTGCTGTCCTTAATAATACCTGAGGAGGTCTCTCCGTTTCATGGCAGTTCTAGATCTACAACCTCACGGTCTGCAAGCCCTTCCAAGAAGTTGTCCCTATGTCTGGAAATTGCAGTTTACCACAACCGGAGGGCAGTTTACCACAACCAGAGGGCAGTTACCTTATGGTGTGTTTCTGTCCAAATGGTTTAAGGTTTGATTATAAAGGCACATTTGAACCGAGCAAAAGTAGAATTCTGTTCACATTCTGATAATTAAGAAGATGTCCCCTGGGGCCTCATTAACTAGGGGTGTAGAAAATATGGACCCTAAAGAACTTGGAAATCAGAAAATCCCAATCCCAGATCATTTTGATCTGTAAACTGCCATGAGTTCCTGTGGAGTCTAGTGGAATAAATAATAATAATAATTTTTAAAAAGCACCACATTTGGACCACTTTGGCAACTTTGGGGATTTCTTGTTCAAGTGTCAATAGCACTTACAGGAAGTGGAAATTTGTCACAGTGGCATGAAAGGTTTTCCTTGTCAACTTCAGCACATCCAGCTGTAGTTCAAAGCATGAGAACAAACCAGCCTAGAGGCTGTTTTGTCAAGTAAAACCTTAATATAAACTCTTAGGTAAGAGCTGTGCTAGAGAGTAAAAAAAAAATTACAGAAACCCAAAGGTTATGAAAATCTTGCATCTTTGACTTTTCTCCCTAATATTTAAGAAGTATCAAAAAGGAGGAACTAATGCCAGATCCATTAACAACAGCTAGAATTCTGTATTAGCAGCAACAAATGATACTCAAGGGTTTAAAAAAAAGTTACAGAAAGATTATATACCGTAAATGCTGATCAGTTATATTATTTCTGACTGTATTGTCACAGATCATTATTCTGTTTGTTTAGTATAATTTACTAGAAAAAAAATTAAAATAACCAGCTTACTATTTACGCATCAGAGATCCTAGGGTAAGAAGTAATTTAATCAATCAACTTTTACTCGGTCACAGACCAGCAAAAAGAATTACAGGTAATCCTCGACTTAAGATCACAATTAAATCCAAAATTTCCATTGCCAAGCAAGGCAGTTCACTGAGTTGTGACCCATTTTACAACTTTTTCTGCCACTGTTGTTTAAAAGAACCACTGCAGTTAAGTAAATCATGCGGTCATTAAGCAAATCTGGCATTGACTTTGCTTGTCCAAAGTTGGCTGGCAAGGTTACAAATGGTGACCGCCTAACCCCAGGACAATGCAACTGTCATAAATACACGGCAGTTGCCAAGCGTCTGAATTTTGATCACATGATGCTACAACAGTTGTAAGTGTGGGAAACGGTCATAAGTCTCTTTTTTTCAGTGCTGTATAACTTCGAGCAATCGCTAAGCAAAAGATTGTAAGTCAAAGACTAGCTGTAATTCACTACTAGACAAGATGGCGTGATCATTTGTATTTGTTTTCAGAATTAGACAGAATCTGGTCAAGTCTTAAGTAATAATAGTAAAGTTGGAAGGGACCTTGGAGGTTATCTAGTCCAACCCCCTGCTCAGGCAGGAAACCCTATACCATTTCGGACAAATGGCTGTCCAGTCTCTTCTTAAAAACCTCCAGTGTTGGAGCATTCACCGCTTCTGGAGGCAGGTTGTTCCACTGGTTAATTGTTCTAACTGTCAGTCTTGATAAATTCTCTTGTACATATTTCCCAGTGAAACAGAGAGATATCCACTCAATTGAGCAGAAGAAAAATTGATCTGGACAGATTTATTAAGAAGTGTGCCTAGGCTGTCATTTCAAATGAAGAGCACGTCTTTTCAAGTGATAAGAACAAGCAGCATTTCACACTTTTATATTTCTATTTCCACATTAAACTTTTGCTTTTAGACTCTCTGTACATGTGTTTTTATGAATGTGTGAGAGGCAGAGAAAGAAATAATGGCAAGCCCTTTTTGCAGCTACTTAAACCAGCTTTATTATAAACCATGATCACTTCTGGAACGAAAGTGAGACAACATATGTCTTTTATCTCTTGTATCCCTGTCTGAAACAGCCAATGTAAAGAAAACAGATCAGCTTCCCCCAAAATGAATCCTTCTACATGTGCCAAATTACATAACCCCCTATGCCTTAGAGGGCACCAGGTTGCAGAAGATCAATCTGGGAAAAGAAAAACAGAAAAGAGGGGAGCTCTCATTATGACACCTTTTATTCTCTTTTTTCGAGAAGTTTCAGGAAGAAAATAAAAACACTTAGGGCAGTGGTTCTCCACCTGTGGGTCGGGACCCCATTTGGGGTCGAACGACCATTTCATGGGGGTCGCCAAACAATGCAGTCCGCCATTTTTTCCCCCTTTTCCTTAGCTGTGCCACTCCCTTTTATTCTATTGGCTTTTGAAAGCCAACAGAATAGACTCTGTTGAATAGAGTCTAATTCTATTGGCTTTCAAAAGCCAATAGGAATTGTCCAGGCTGTCTCTGCCCTGCTGAGCCCACCAAAAGTCCCATTCTGCAAACGGTGCTGCAAGTTGTCTGCAGCGAAGGTGAGCTGTCTGGAAGTTTCCATCCCTCCCTGCTGAGCAACTGCTAAAAATGTAAGTAAAAGAGGGCCAGGGGTGGGAGGTGGGAGGCCAGCGGGCGCAGGGAGGGTTGCTGGCGCGCGTGGGGCCCGGCGGCTGCCTTACCTCCCTTGGGTTGGGCCAGTTGGTGGCCCAGCCAGTGGTCGGCCTGCGCCGTCTCTACCGCTTGCCAGCTACGCCTTAGCTGGCGCAGGGGGCGGCACCACGCATGCGCAGCACTCCTGGGCAGCGAAAGTCCTTGACTTACGACCGGTTGGGGGTCGCGGCATTAAAAAGATTGAGAACAACTGGCTTAGGGTCAAAAGGGAATTAAACCTCCCTCCTGTTCCATATGCCCCCATCTATAGGTTTCTCTCTTTCAGAGTAAATGAAGTTTGGTGGGCGGGGGATAAATTAATTCAATGCAAGAAAGGAAAGAATGGCCTGATCAGTGGATACATTTATCTCCCTCTCCATCTTGTTTGCTCTTCAATTATTTGGGTTCCTGTGTCAAGCAACGGAGTTCACCCTTCCATGCCCCCTTTTCAATTTCTCCAAAGGACAGTAAGAGTCACTGTCTTTCTGAAGACAAAGTGTGCTTTTGTGCCCTTGGCAGAGGGCACCTTGAGCCTCGCTGCAGTCCTGATCTTGAGCTGGCAAAGATTGGAAAATGCCACCTGCCTTCTTCTTTTCAGCCCAGAGTTTTTATGCTACAGAAGTCCTTCCCTACGTTGCTCCAAGCTTAATAAAGCAGAGTTTCTCTTTTTTAATAAGCCTTCACTGCTACTATTACTTCTTTGGAATCTACATGAATGTATTACCTAAAGGAGTTAATGCTCTCACTAACTGGATGAATTTTGTTTTTAATCCGGAGCAAAGTAATTTCAGTTTGGAGTTGGGAGATGGGATGTGTGCAGTCTGGCTGAGGAATTCTGGGAGTTCAAGTCCACAGGTCTTAAAGTTGCCAAGGTTGGGAACCCCTAAACTAGAAAGCTGCACCACTGGTGCCTCAGATAGCCAGGGTGTGCATGGATGACAGGTAATTAATATGTGTCACGAAAATTGAGCTATGCATTAAAAAAAAAGAATGATACTTAATGCAGAAACTGGTAATCAGATCACGAAACCACATCCACTTCTTTGCGAGATACCACTTGATTTTCCCATTTGCCCACTGAATGCAAAACAGACATGGAGGATTAGTGGCCTTTGGGACAATAAATCTGATGAGTAGCTCACTGTAGAAGAAACTTACTACAATTAGTCCTCAACTTACAACAGTTCATATAGTGATCCTTCAAAGCTGCAACGGCACTGAAAATAAAAACAACTTACCATTTTTCACACTTACAACCACTGCAGCGTCCCAGAGTCATGTGATCAAAATGCAGACATTCATCATATTTATCACAATTGCAGTGTCTAAAGGTCATGCGATTACCTTTGGCGATCTTCTGACAAGCAAAGTCAATGGGGAAACCAGATTCACTTAACAACAGTGTTTCTAACTTCACAACTGCAGTGATTCACTTAACAGCTGTGGCAAGAAAGGACGTAAAATGGGGCAAAATTCACTTAGTAGGTGTCTCGCTTAGTAACAGATTTTGGGCTCAAGGACTACCTGTACAATTTTTTTTTTTACAAAAACTAGTTGCTCACTGATAACCAGAAGACCTGATGAACCAGCCATACAAATGGCAGGTCTTCCTCCACCAAGTCCAATTGTTATCCAGCTTTTCCCAACTTGGATTCTTCCTTCCAGATTTGCTGGGTAGAGAATTCTAGGACTCATCGTCCAAGCTCATTTCCTATACTCTTATATTCTTCAAGTAATTATAAAGTTTTGTGCTAAGTTTCTAGTGATATATGTCAGTGGTGGCAAACCTATGGCACGTGTGCCAGAGGCGGCACTCAGAGCCCTCTCTGTTGGCACACATGCCACCGCCGCCAGCAGCAGGTCCATCAGGCCGCCACCGCCACCTGGAGCAGGAGCCCCACCCAGCACAAAGGAGGTGAAGTGGTTGAATAGCAAGCTCGAGTAGAGGTGGTAGAACAGAGGTCACCAACCATTGTTGATTGGTGGACTGGAAAAAAAGGGAGGGATAAGCATTTTACATGTGTGCATGTCCGCATGGGGCCACAAGCAAGCACCTCTGCAAATGGGGTGGGGTTAGTGCCTGTGTGATACTCACTGGCCATGCCCCGTTCTTACATGGTGCAGCGCCTTGTATCTACACCCCGCCGCGTGGCGGTGGCCATTTTTGTGCCTTGCAGCACGGTGGCCCATTTTTTCAGAGGTGCCTCCCTGTCCCCCCGAGGGCATCACAGTGCTGATGTGGCCCTGGCACTTTGCAATAAATAAGTGGGTTTTGGGTTGCGGTTTGGGCACTCTGTCACTAAAAGGTTCGCCATCACTGATATATGTGGTTATTTGGAACTGCTTATTGGTCCTGGAGAATTTCTACGTTTAAAGGCAGTCATATATATATATATATATATATATATATATATATATATATATATATATACACACATACATACACACATACACATATACACACACACATATATATATATACACACACACATACATACACATATACATACACACAAACATATACCTATACATACCCCTATATACATCTATACATATACATGTATACATACTATGTGTGTGTGTGTGTGTGTGTATAATGTATGTACATATCTGTGTGTGTGTGCGCGCGCGCGTGCACACACACTCACACATATCAGTGTGTTTTGACTAGGTTCAGATAGTCTAGGAAGGAAAGAAGGTTGTTTGTGTGCCATATGTAATGTTTATTCCTTTGGCCCAAGGTGAAAATGTCTGAATCCATATAAAGTGTAAAATGCATTGCACTGTGCTTCATATTCCAATGACATGGTGCGTATACACGATGTCAAAAATGTTATTGTCTTTAGAGAATGGGAAGAAGTAGGTGAAAATTACAAAAGCTACAGTAGTGTCTGATGAATACAAAAACACATATAAATATGCAGGCATTTCTTTTGTTGTTGTTGACAATACATGATTTTTATAATATGTTGAAAAAATATGTGCAGTAAGGGCAGTTACCCATCAATCCTTGTTAACGGTGTTATGTGTCTTCCTAAATCTCCGATGGAACAACAAATGTTTCCATGCAAGATAAAAATAAAGCATATGTGTTCTTGCTCATGCATGCACACACTTTGTGACGATAAGGTCTGAGCCTACATAAATGGTTGACAACCTGTTGCTGTCTGTGCACAAATGCAGGTATGAAAAGGGAACTGATGAGAAATGAAATAGGATGAAAAGAACCGAGGTGCAGAAAGAAAATTTGGTGACAGATGAAAAGAAGGGAGGGAGGAAAGTTGGGGAAAAAGGGACACGTTTAAGGTAGTGGGGCATTCACAAAAGAGGGAACGTTATGGAGATAATTTTGTGAATGCTATGGAGATACAGCATAGATACAAGAATGGAAGAAGGCTATGTTGGGATAGAAAGAGTAAAAAAAATGCATATACATACTTAGTTGAGTAAACAGGACTGATGGAACAGAGAGAAAGCTTACTAGGGCCTCCGCTTTAGAACCACAACACGTAAGGCTTCCAGTAACACAGCTTAAAACTAAGTATTTCAGATTCGCACGACCCACCCACCCCTTTTTCAGTAAATGGTACGGCCACCTGTTTGGAAGCCCAGCGCAACCAAGAAGAGCGCTTTCCACGCCGATAGGCAAAAAAAAAAAAAAAAAGGTGCAACAGGCCTCCGTTGTTTTCCTGCCGAAAGAACGGCTCGCAGCGGTCTCCAGCGGCCCCAGGTCTAGCTCAACTTTACAGACGGGGCAACCCGGAGCAATTTTGCGCTAAAATAACTGCCGCCAGGCGGACGTAGGGTTTACAGCATCGCTTTCCGCTTTCGTTCACGCACCCTTCACGGAGATCCCCCCGGCCTTCCGCCCACCCCGGCTTCGGGCGTGCGGGTGAGGTTGTTGCAGCCCAGCCCTTAGCATCAGTTGCCCTTTGATCAGGAGGGGAAGCCCCGAAGAAGCGCCCTGCCGGGGACATTAAATCAACCCAGCGTCAGGCGGAGACAGGGCCGCGTGCCTCGCCGCGTCGCCTCCCTTTGAATCGCCCGCAGAGACCTCGCTTCCCCGGCTCCCCTTCCCGGGTCCTCCCAGTTCTACCTCTCCCAGTTTCACTCCTTGCTACTCCTCCACCGCCCAGCCCGGATCCGCTGCAATCCCGGCTCCTTTACATTCCTGAGGCGCTTCTGCATCCCGCGCGGTCCCCAGCCTGGTGGTGCAGGAGAGGGGCTGGGTGGGGCGGGGAAAGGATCCAGCGAGGCGCGTGTGGGTGCGTGGGCAAGCGCGGGCGAGGAACGGAGAGCGACCGCACCTCGTTCCCCCCCCCCCCAAGTCCGGTTTGTCCTCTCTCCCACGTCCCTCCCCCTTACCTGCTTCAAAGTCGTTGAGCCCCTTGGAGTTAGCCCATGCCACCGGCTGCTGGCAGTCCCCTTCCCATCCTCTAGCCCGCTCTTTTGCTTCTCCCGCCAGCCCGCCCGACCGACCCACCTCGCCTGCTGGCTTACTCTCCACCCTTCTACTCCGTCTTCCTTAGGCGTCTCTTCGCCCCTGCCTGGTAAGGCAATAACAGGCAGGCGTGGGCTTGGGAAAGCGGCTGGAAATCGAGTCAAGAGGGACACCAGTGGTCATCCCGCAGCTGGACTTCTCAGATCTGCAGCCTGGGAAAGACAGCAGGGACCGCAGATTGGCGGTAGAGGGACGTCCCTGAGGTAAAACCTCTTAAGAGCAGAAGCAGCGTTATCTCTGAATCGTGGGAGATGAGGTGGTGTGATGGTATAAAGAGATTGGCTTACAAATCAGGAGGGAAACTAATATTCCTGGGTCTTACCTTCAGCTAACTCAAGCTTTCTCCCTCTCCAAGTGTACTGTGATTGAGACTAATACTGCAGATCAACTTTACAAGATTCTAGCAAGGCATGGGAGACAGCCCCTATCGTCATCCTCTGGGAGATGGGCAGCCATATAAGTGTGATTTATAATTAAATGAATAGATCTACTGGCCAACTCTAGGGCAGCTTGGTGCCCTCCAGATTTCAGTTCCCTATAATTCCACAGCTAAACTGGACACCACCACACTGAGGAAACCTTTGCTAAAATATAATTAAATATATAAAATATTCTGATAGTTCCTATGTCTGCTAATAGCAAAATGCAAGAATTGCTGCCTTCAAGAACTAAATCTGAGGTTTAATAACATGGGATTTTTTTTATATTCAATTTTCTATTGGTCTTAATGGAGGCTACTTGGAGCAGAAAGAGAAGAAAGCTCTGATTTCTGAAATTCCAATTGATGTGGGATCTGATGTTGTCAGCTTGAAAATGTGGAGGGGCAATCAAGGCAATATATGTACAAACTGAAAAAGAAAGGGGGGTGAACACCCCTCAGTAAGTTATGGGCCATACAAAACCATACTGTCCCATTTCCAAGACAGTCTTGTAGGATGTCATCAAATTGCACTCTGCCAAATTGTCATTTAGACCCCAAGAAAATTTCCAACATTACAAGAGCACAACCCTTAGTGGGAAGACAGAAAAGTCAAATTTCCTGCTCATTTCTGCTCAGCGATAAAGAGGGTAACATGCCTGATTGTCTCCTGGAGATCAAATAAAGTATTAGACTGGATGCAAATCATCAATACATGTTAAAACAATTGACAGAATGAAATGTAGAAATGCTATATGGACCTGGCACTGTAAATGTTAGTGTGATTTTTTCTTTATATTTTCAATTATTTAAAAATTTCATCCTTATCTTTGAAGAAACTTTTAAATCATTATGTGCCATCAAGATATACTTTCTCCTGCCCCCAAGCTAGTCCTTTAGTCTTCTAATAGTGCACCCAATATTGCTATAACTAAGCCCATCCACCTTGCGACTAATCATCCTCTTCTTCTCTTTCCTTCTAAGATACTTTCCTTCTTCAGAGAGCTAGGTCTTTGCATAATGTGATTGAAGAATGAGCCTGGTCATTTGTGCTTTGAATGAAAATTTGAGTTGATTTGTTTGATGATCCATTTGTTTGTTATCTATACTTTTCTCAGTAGTCTTCTCCAACACTAAGGTTCAAAAGTGTCAATATTCTTTCCATCCAGCTTTTTCAAAGTCCAACTTACATTTCCATTAAGTGTCACAGGCGTCTTAGTGCCTTAACACCATTGCCTGCCCAATTCTGATCTTTGTAAATATAGATACATCCCAGCATCTGAATAGCTTTTCCAAGGCCTTCAAGGTTGCTCCACCAATTGCTAGTCTGCAGCATTTTCTTGATTGCTGCTTTCTTTACTAGTGAAGGTTGATCATAAAAAGCAGAAGGTACCCACCACTCAAATATTTTCGTTGCCAATTCTAAGGCTGGCTACTGTACTTATTATCATTAGTTTGATCTTCTTTACATTTAGAATAGAATAGAGCTGGAAGGGACCTTGGAAATCTTCTAGTCCAGTCCCCTGCTCAAGCAGGAGGTCCTGACCTATGCCATCTCAGACAAGTGACTATTTAGTCTCTTCTTAAAAATCTCCAGTGATTGAAACGCCCATGATTTCTGAAGGCAGGCTGTTCCACTGATTAATTGTCCTCACTGTTAGGAAGTTTCTCCTTAATTACAGGTTGCTTCTTTCTTTGATCAGTTTCCAAGCGTTTTTTCTCATCCTTCCCTCTGGTGCTTTGGAGAATAACATGACCCCCTTTTCTTTGTGGCAGCCCCTCAAATACCAGAATACTGCTATCATGTCTCCCCTATTTCTTCTTTTCTTTAAACCAGCCAAACCCAAGTCCTGCAGCTGTTCTTCGTATGTTTTAGTCTCCAGACTTTGGATCATCTTACTTGCCCTTCTCTGAATTTTCTCCAAACTCTCAACATCTTTTTTGTGATATGGTGACCAGAACTGGCTGCAGTATTCCAGATATGGTCTTATTAGGGCTGTATAAAGCGGTACTATTACTTCGAGTTTAATACTAATAAGACTTAATACTTCAGTCCTACTCCCATTTTTCACTGAAATCTTTGACTTTCATTATTAGAACCTACAAATCATTTGCACTTATGGGACTACAAGGAACCATCAGCTGAGCTAGATAAGCCACAGTCCACAATCTGCAACCAGTTCCACAAAGCTTCCGTGTGTCTTTAGTTGCGTTTATTTGTTGCCTTAACTGATACTCTGCTTTTCTTTGAGATCAATGCCAGCATGTAGAAATACTTCCTCTCCAATATTTCCACAACATCAATCTTGTCTGACAAACTGGCCTAAGAAAAAAAATGACTGGCCCAAAATCATACACTAATTCCAGGATTGAGGGTAAACGTAAACCCAAATCTCCCCGATTGTAGTCTCTTACGTTGAGTACTACATCACCGTGACTTTTTATCAAGAGACCTTTTTATTCACTACCAACATTTGCTGCCAAAACCATGTCAGCAAATTTTGGAAGCGCGGCATCTACTTATTTAAAAGAATTAGGATTAAGTGAGAAAAGTTGACATTTAAAAAAAAACCAAGGGTGATATATATTGAATATGAATTAAATGATACAGAAATTTCGAAGATCTAACAATATATGCTAAGAAGGTGCAGACATGGTGTCATGACAACAGTTCTAGCATCCAGATATGATACATAGCTTCTAATTATACTGGGTCCACTAGATTTGTCATAGCTCATACAGAATGGTAATTAAGTGGGGGGAGGACCTCTGAAACATCCTAGCTGAGACATTGCTCTCCTCCTTAAGGAAGGATGATGAGGGAAAGGATATTTGTGGTTCTGTAGTCATAAAGACAAGGTGAGTTTATAACAAAAGAACACTAGATGGCACATTTGCCTCACAGAGGCAGACAATTACACTAGATAAGAGTACATTGCAATACATACTGATTAGTCAGGCAGACTGTGTAAACACAGAGATGATGATGATAATGATGACGATGATGATGATGATGATATCACCTGGTGATGATTTCCATGGGCAGATGGGATACCATCATAAATAAAACATCTTGGACAGAATCTGCCTGTTGCTCAAGCATAGAGAATTGGCTTCTCCTCCTTTCCATCAGATATCCTTGTGGCCAGATTGCAGGAGGGAAGGTACTCCAAGGATATTGCTCAAGGCCAGCCATCCCTAATTTGTCCTCCCTCTAGATGTGTCGGGCTTTTACTTCCCCCAATTCCCAACCAGGCAAATATCCTGAGATTTGCAGTACAAAACACGTGTAGGATGCCACATGCAGGGAAGGTGGACCTTCAACTCCTTTGCTTGAAGATTCTGGACCTTTCAGGCTTCCCTCTCACATGGAGAAACATTCCCACCTAAACATTTTTTTTCTCATTGTCTGAAATATGGATTGCACGGCAGAATTCCAACCAGGGATGCAAGTCATGACCGTGGCAGGGACACAGCTAACCACCTCTCCCCATCCATTTTCATGGATGGGATGGGAGGGTTTATGTGAACCATTCAATTTCTTTCCTTGTTTTATCACATTTATAAAGCATGTTAGGTATTGTATTTTCTGCATTGCGTTCTCACAGTAGCTTTGAAATGTAATTTAGGAGATAGAGTTATTGTCTCAGCCAGAGTTTCATAGTCAAGTCATACTTGGACTTTAGGTCTCCCTTTTCCCAGTCCCTTTATCTATCAATTCATTAAACAATTATTAATCTATTTCCTGTGAAAAGTTCTACTTGCTATTGATAGTGTAGGTCAGGAGGAATCAAAAATGGGGGATGAGTTTTATTGGCCAGTTGGCAGAGGAAATAGTCAAAAGCCCTTCATGCTGTAGCTATGTTCTGATTCAGACCCTCTGCAAGTGGGTATTTTTTTTCCAAAATAAGATAATTAATGAGAACTACAATCTTTATATCTCCAGGATCCTATCAGCCTCATGCCTAACAACGAAACAATATCTGTATCAGTGTTTCTTAACTTTAGCAACTTTAAGAACTGTAAGGCAGGCTGCAGAATTCTGGGAGTTGGGAGTCCACACATCTTAAAGTTGCCAGAATCGAGAAACACAGATCTGTATATAGGCATGTGCATGAATAAGCACTAAAATACTATGTTATATGAGAGCAAGTATGGTATCATGGTTAAGGTACTTAATTGGAAGTGGGGAAACCCTGGTTCTAGTCCACCCTCAATCTAATAAGGTAACTTTAGGCCAGTCATTCACTATCAGCCCAACTTCCTTCTCAGATGGGAAAACTCATAGAGCCATAGGGCTGGAAGGGACCTTGGCAGTCTAACCCCTTGCCCAAGGCAGGAATCCTTATACCATCCCAGACAAAGGGTTGTCCAATCTTTTCTTGAAAATCTCAACAATGGAGGACCACAGCACCAGGAGGCATGCTGTGCTATAGATTAATTGTTCTTACTGTCAGGAAATTTCTCCTTAGTTCCAGGTTGGATCGCTCTTTAATGAGCTTCCATCCATTTCTTCTTGTCCTGCCCTCAGGTCCTATGGGGAATAAATTGACATCCTCTTCCCTGTGACAATCCTTCAAGTATTGGAAGATGGCTACCCTAAGCCTTCTCTTCTTTAGGTTAAACGTATCCAGTTCCCTTAGCCATTCATTGTGTGATTTAGCCTTCAGACCACTAATCTTATTTGTTACCCTTCTCCGCACTCTTTCTAGGACTTCAGCATCTTTTATTGTGGTGACCAAGTGCTACGTATGCCATTTCATTCC